TAGAAAACCCAAGGACAAGACTACTCTGTCAGTAGTTATATCTCCGATACCGAAGGTCCTGACACCAACACACTACTCAGAGCCATCTGGGTCAGTTGACTCCTCTAGTGTTTTCGCCCAAGACTCAGGGGATGAAGGCTTGGATCAACCCAAAAACCATTCTCCTCCACAAATGGTCTTGGAAAATCTCCCCATTTCACCTTCAGAAGACCTGAAATCAAACGGAGACTTCATCAAACACATGGCTAATATCTTGACCCTGTCCACACAATCCCCACCTATGGTCACTGATAACAGTTTTTGACATCGTACAAATTGATACTTCAACAGCTGTCGCTTTATCAGTGATTTCAGTTCTGTTCTAGGCTGCGAAAGCTCCTTGGTCTCATCCAGCCTCAACCCCCATCTCAAGCCGCAGAACTGACCATATGTACAAGGTCCCGGAAATAGGGGCTGAATTCTTATTCATGCACTCCAAGCCAAATTCAGTGATGGTCACCTCCTCTTCCAAGGGCAGATGTACACATTCCACATTCCCTGAATAGGAAGAGAAGAAACTAGATTCTTTTGGGCGCAAATTCTACTCTGTGGGTGTCCTGGGCATTAAAACCTCAAATTATGCAGCCTGCATGGGCAGGTACCAATATGCTCTTTGGGAGCAACTTTCTGAGTTTATTGCAGCCCTACCTGAGGACTTAAACTGTCAAGCCAGGCGTGTTCAAAAGGAGGGCATGCTACTAGCAAAACATCAGCTCAACTCAGCGAAGCACACACTAGATGTGTCAGCCAAGACGCTTACTTCAGCAATCGCCCTTAGACGTCATGTGTGGCTGCAGAAGAAGAGATTGGATTTATACCCCGCCCTTCACTTGGAGTCTCAGAGCGGCTTACAAACTCCTTTCCCTTCCCCTCCCCACAACAGATACCCTGTGAGGTGGGTGGGGCTGAGAGAACTCTGACACAAACTGCTCTTTGTCAAGGACAGCTGTGCCAGAGCTTGTGACTGACCCAAGGTCACATCAGCAGGTGCAAGCGGAGGAGTGGGGAATCAAACCCGGTTCTCCCAGATTAGAGTCCGCACACTTAACCACTACACCAAACTGGCTCTGCACCAAACTGCAGTCCACTATCCTCCAACAGGATACCAAATCTTATGTGGAAAACCTTCCCTTTGAACAGGAGGGCCTATTTAGTTCCAGTATGGACACTGTCCTCAAGATCTAGACAAAAGCATCAAGATCTCTTGCAATCTCGGGGTATCCTCTTCCACCAGGTAGAATAAGCCCAGATCCTGGAACAAATCCTGGTCTTAGTGTTCCTTCAACAAGTCACAGTGGCAGCAGAGATCACCACATATGCCATCTCGTTCATATGGAACTAAACCAAAGTTCCCTACTGCCATACAAACCAGGCCCAAGGCTCCTAAGGGTGCAAAACAAGGCCTTTGACTTGAGACCTCTACCTTACCCGTCAGAACCCACACATTTCCATCTTTACCTACCTGGCTGGAGATGGATCCCTTCAGACAAATTGGTACTTTCTGTCATTTCAAGGGCGTACACGATAGAGTTCATTCATACACCAACAACATTAGTCTTCACTCCTATCCTCCCCCCTTCCGCTGTCCTCCTAGAAGAAGCATAAAACTTACTGGACCAACAGGCCATAGGACCGGTTCCTATCTACAGCCACCATCGTGGCTTCGACTCCCATTATTTTATGGTCCCCAAGAAGGATGGAGGCCTCTGTCCCATCATAGATCTCAGAGGGTTAAATCACTTCATCACCTACAAAAAATTTTGGATGACGTCGCTACAAAACATCCTCCCTGTCATGTGGAAAGGTGCATGGATGGGGACTCTGGACTTGCAGGATGCCTACTTCCACATAACCATACACCATCATCACAGAAAGCTTCTCCTGTTTGCCATAGGAGACCTGCATCACCAAAACAAGGTTCTCCTTTTTGGTCTATCAACAGCTCTTTGTGTATTCATGGAAACAATTATTGAGATTGTGGCTTATCTACGTCTACAGGAGATAAAGATCTTCCCATACATAGATGACTGGCTGATGGTGGCAGACTCCAGATTCACCATTCTACAACACATAGACATAACCCTAACATTGCTACACACTCTGGGACTCCGAGTGAATCACAAAAAACTATGCTCACCCTCTCTACGAGGGTTCAGTTCATCGAAGTGATTCCTGAATCTGCAGGGAATTTCTCCCACCCAAGAGGGCAGATGACATTGTTACCCTGATTTATTGGATACGATCACGGGGCAATACATCTGCTCTCCAAATCCAATGCCTACTGGGCATGTTGGCCTCCATGACTTCTGTGATTGTGTTTTTCAAACTCCACACGAGACCACTGTAGTTCTGGTTCCTGAGACAGTTCAGTTCTCAATATCAGCAACAATCACACCGGTTTCTCATTCCCCCTCCCATTCTAACCTCCCTGGAATGGTGAGAAGATCACCTAAATCTTCTGGCGGGAGCACCCTTCCACCCTCCCATTCTGTCTCTGGCAATAACGACGGATTCATCTTTATGGGGGTGGAGTGCTCACTTCAACGGTCTGGGTGTAGGTGCCAACTGGGAAACTCACATAGCACACTGTCATATCAACTTTCTGGAACTCCTAGCAGTAAGATAAGCCATTCAGTCCTTCCATCACCTAGTACTGCATCATGTGCTCACGATCCTGATGGGCAGCACCACCACTCTCTATTACATAAACTGCCAGGGTAGCATGGTTTCAAAACACCTCTGCAATCTAGCCTTGGAAATTTGGGATGAGTGCAAGCAACCTGTCTTTCTCAGTTAGCCCAGTGATTATGTATTTTAGGGTTTTTATGCTGTTTTACATTGTAGTTGAGTTTACTATACTGAAATTATCTGTTGCCAAAGTTTGTATGTGTGTATGCGCGCGTGCTGCTGTAGTGGTTATGATAGGAGCTCAGAGGGGTCTAGCAGAGGCTAGTGGTTTCAGGTTTGGCAGTGGGAGAGAGGGAGGCTTTTATCAGTTGTTCACAAGTGTGGGAAAGTAGGCAGCAGCAAGATCTGTTAGTGGAAGTACTGCTAAGAATATGCGGGTTTTCCTTCAGATTTTCCCACCAAAACACTGTTCCCCACTCTGACCAAGCAGCCTCTTAGTAGTGTTTTAATAACAGAATTACAATTTTCTGTGTCCTACCTTGTGATAGAGAAGTTATTTGGCTTTTGAGATTTATTGTAGCTAAGCAGGAGCCCTCCTATAAATCCCTTTGGAAATGGCACTTGACACAAAATAAAGTTCAAAGAGAATAGTTGATTTTATTGAACAGGCACAGTTGGGTTAGGAATAGGGCAGGGGACAAGAAGTTGAGGTAAATTTTGTTGTTTATACAAATTATATTTTGAGCAGGCTACAGAGTATAATTGGAGCTTATATTCTTAGCGATTCAGTTCTCAACTGTGAGAGGGTTGTTTGCCTTGATTTCTTTCAGCAACAATGTGTCTTAATAAAGTTTCATATAACTATCTGAGTTTCCTTAAAGTTAGTAGTTTCTTCTTGTGTTGAAGTACTTTCCTTGTGGGATTACAACTTTCCTTTTTTACACTTGAGGAGTCTTAGTCGGTTTCCTTTTTCACACAAACCAGGGGTCCCTTCTGAGTTGAACACACTGAAGAACAGTGTAAGAAATATCTTCCTTTAAATACCGTATTTTTAAAAAGTCCTGATCCTGGGGCTGGCTTGGCTTCTCCTACAGTGCAGTTTAGACAGTGCTGCAGGAGAAGCTGGCCCCAGGAGTTGCATGGAAATCCTGGGAGTGGCTTTGCTTCTCCTACAGCCAATCGTGGCTGGGCTCACTTCTTCTGCAGTTCGGTTTAAACCAAGCTGCTGGAGAAGTGAGCCCCAGGAGCTCCTGTGCCACATGGAGCACATTGCTCCGCATGGCACAGCCAATCCTGGCTGGGCTTGCTTCTCTTGTACCCATCCTCTATTGTTTCCAATGAGGAGGGGGAAGAAGGCATTTAAAGGGATCACAGTCCCTTTAAATGGCTTCTCCAAGCTTCACTCTGAAGGCATTTAAAGGGACTGAGGGCCCTTTAAATGCACTTTAACTGTTGTTATCTGGTGGTCAGCCATTTCAGATCACCAAATAATACCAGCTACTATGTATGGCTAAAAAAAAATCCGGAAAATACAGGTAAGGTATTTTTCGGGACATGGCTAAAAAACAATCCGGAAAATACAGGTAAAGTATTTTTCGGGGTTTTTCCCAGCTTGAATAGATGGAATGCACATGGGTTTCCCAGCTTGAATAGATGGAATGCACATCCCTAGTTGGATACTTTGGCTCATTCCCAACATGGAGTTCTACTCTGAAACATTCCTTTTCCTATCTATCTGCCTACTTTTCTGCCATATAAGTAAGGGAAGTTAGTGTAACTGGAAATGTCCATTCTGTCCAGATAAATAGTTTATCTAGTAGATTCACCCAAGAGTAGAACTGGATGTTCTGTGTTTGTGGAAAACGTCTTTTTCATGCAGTTCCCTAGCAGGGTCATTTAATCTATGTACCACTGTGGATTTCTTACTTTTTTATTTAGGATATTTCTGTGCTGCTCCTTCAGTCCAGCTCAAGGTGACTTAGTTAAAGCAATATAATCACAATTTAGCTTCTATTTAGTACCTTCTCATATTGGTTTTAGACTGTTGTAGATTTTTTGTTTTTTCCTAAAGTTAGCCACTGCTAACGTTAAGGTTTCAAGGGAGTTTGCTCACTCTGGAAGGAGATACCCTAGTTGGTTGACTCTGCCTTTGATGGAGGAACCTAACCTGTTATTCTGGGCTCTTCCACCAACCATATATGACAGGTATAAGTCAAATTTCCTTTTCCTATTTGGAGCAATACAGGAAATGTGCTTTAATGTGCATATCATTGAGATGTGATGTATTTGGAGATAATTTATTCACTTTAAATATTTGATTTTCATTTGAACAGATTGCTTTTAAAGATGGAAAGCCTCAGTGTGAGAAAATGTGTGTGGTGCTGAGCAGCCCTGTGGGGAGAATTGAGATATCTGGATGCGGTACAGGAGTGCACGAAATCCAACTGCAGGGCAATGTTCTTCCATCCAGTGGGTAAGCCTGTCCCATCAATTGATTACATACATATGCATGCATTCATGCTACAGATTTCCATGCAACTGGAATGGAATATAGTTGTCTGGGTTGTTCTAATAGTTATCAACTGAAAAAGTTTTTCTGTTTTTGATCATTTTAACCTGTATGAATAAGTGTGGCCTCAAATAGAGCCTGGTGCTTGTCATGCTTAGCCACTGAATGAATTCGGAGTTCATCCTTGTATATGTTAGTTTTTAAGGTAATGCTGACCAGGGGTCTATATGCTTATCAGTAGTGATTCATCTTTTAATTTGACCAGGCAAAGTCAGAGGTAGACCTGCTGGTCCCCTAACTCAGAAGAAGGGTAGAACAAGAGCCCTCTTTGATGTTGTGCTGAGATTTAGAGGCACTTGGGTAAACAGCAAGAATCATGCTGTTTTCCAAGTTTCTCTGGAGTTTGTTGGGAAATGAACTAATTTATAGTTTTATATCTGCTACACACACAACACATGGACTGTGCACACATTTGTATACCATGAGCCAAAGAAAGCTGTTTGCATCACCTGTGAGAGACTTCACATAGGGAAAACTTGCCTGCATTTTATGTTAATATAGCTTGCACACATTCAGCTCAGAGCATCATGGGAAGAAGGAGCACATGTTAGCCATTGTGAGCAGAGAACAACAACCAAGAAGGAGGAATTCCCCCATTACTGAAAAGATGAGATGTCACACAGGACACGGACCTGATCTGCATCTGTATTCCATGTTTTCTGTTTATGCCTGGGAAAGCCAATATTCATCTGTACTTCAAAGAGCATACAGGAAGCCTGGACTTCACACCTAGCCAGATGGTATTCCAAAGTAGGTGGGATTACAGATTGGTAAGGTGCCACCCACCTGAAAATTCAACTATAAAAGTAAAGACCCAAACCCTAGGTCTTTGCTAGCCACCTCCCTTCTCTATGACCTCTATCTTCTTTATTACCCCTAAGGTCCAGCTTTCTATCCAACAATCCTTTTGTCTACCTTAAGATCTCTTGGACTGCAGCCATGAGATCCATGCTTGCTTAGCTGGTTCTAGCAGGTGTGATTTAGCTTAAACCCCTAGGTATTACTTTCTACCCCATTCCCATTGCAACAGACAAAACGTCTGGAAACAGGCGAGAATAAACCGAAATAGCTACCTACCTACCTCCAAGTAACTGAGAATCTATTTTATTTCTATTTAACTCTAAAGGACACTTGAACGTATGCGAAGTGAGACTGATGTTTTTGTATGTGTGACTTTGATATTGCTTAGTAAAAAGAATATTTGTTTTGGAAAAACACCCGTGTGGTCTACATTACTGGGACTCTGGGTTTGGACACGACCCTGGTATAGCTGGCCAGGACTCACGTTAAAAATTTAGTTGGCCTCTGCTGTAAATAAAACAGTTGGCGTAACAAGTTCAAATCCAACATCAGGGATGTGATCCCACTGCTTCCCAAGCCCGGAAAGAGGCAGTGTTTGTGGTAACAACTCATTTTGGATCACAGTTGCTGCCCTGGTGATGACACTTCCATTGACAAAATTGTAATTAGGATACCTGGATGAAACCTGCATGAGGTGTTATTTTGCTGTCTTCAGTGCTGTCATCAAAAGATTAAGTGAATTGCATGAATTCAATTGTGCTGCTATTGTATGTGTATGCTAGGACAATGATATCATCTCCCAATCATACACTGATATCAAAATCTGAATAGCCACTTTCCATAGAAGTAAGGACAGAATATAAAAACCTGCATATGCCCAAGTAGTTGAACATACACAGCTTTCAGTGCCACCAGTTCCCCTGTCCCATAAAATTATGTGTGTCTCCCTTCCTATCATGGCCCCATTTCTGCCACAAATTTTACTTTGTACTATCAGGCCAATGCTTCTAAAGTGGAATTAGAGTGTATATAATTTTTCATAGACTAGATTTGTTGTTGTTTTTGTTTTATTCCGCCTTTCTGCTGCCATGGGGCCATTAAGATGGCTAATGAATGAAACTATACAAATTAAAATATTATCTTGAAAATCATTAAAACCAACATGCAAATACATTATTAAAACTAGTTAGTACCAAAGTTTAAAATAAGTGCAAAAATTAAGAACAACAGTTAAAACATTGGTGAGGAAGGCGAGATCAGTTAGAGAACACGAGGCTAAACAAAAAAGTCTTCACTTGTAAGTGGAAGATGGCAACAGAAGGGGACAGGTGAATTTTTGGGGGGAGGAAATTCCTCTTCTGGGTCGCCACCTGCCTAATTTCAGAAGTTGTGGGCACCCAAAGCAGGCCCTATGAAGATGACCACAGTGGTCAGGTAGGTTCATAAGGGAGTAGGCGGTCCTTCAGGAATGTTGGTCCCAAACCATATAGGACTTTAAATATCAGCACCTTGAATTATGCCTGGAAACAAATTCAGAGCCAGTGTAGATGGAACGAGACTTGAGTGTTGTGGTCCCTATGATCCATTCCAGTCAGCATCTCCGCTGTGGAAGGGAGTATGAACACTACATAGCATTCATACTCCCACTGATTTGGCTGTGTTCCAGGTCTTTCCTTAGCATCTTGGCTGCAGCATTGTGCACCAACTGAAGTTTCTGAACATTTCTCAAGAGCACCCCCACCTATACAACATTGCACCAACCTAATTTAGATGTAACCAGGGCATGTACCACAGTGGCCAAATTTTTACTGCCCAAGAAGTATCACAGCTGGCTGTCTAGTTGAAGCTGGTAAAGGCCTTTCTGGCCACAGCTTCCACCTGCTTATCCAGCAATAGGCCTGAATCCAAGAGCACCCCTAGTCTATGGAGTAGGGGAGGAATGGTGCTCTGTTATAGAATTGGAGTGTATTGGGGACTGGTGTGGAAGTTATAACCATGTGGGGATTGGAAGAGAGAACAAATGACATGGTCACGTGTAACTCCTAAGGTGAGAGGGGCAAGAGTGGCTTGATGGACATCAGAAACTCATGCCAAACCAAGATGTGTTAACATTGTAGTATATTGCTGTGGTGTTCTTAGTCCCAGGAAATACACCCACTTACTGGATCTGATAATAGCTTCCTTGTGACTTCTCATTACTATACATTTCTGACTTCCTGGAAGCCACTCATTTTCTTTTCCTAGCTTTTGTATTGTACATTACCATTCTTGTATTTTTAATTGTTAATGTAGTGTATACAGTTGAGACCCAAATAGTTTGGTTGGTTTCCCATCCTATAAATGCATGAATATCCAGAAAGAATAAATTTGGAGTATTTTCCAGCTACTTTTCTTACAGTTTTCCAAACGATGTTAATGGGGGGGGGGGGGTTTACAGCTGCCTTATGGTAAGGCTGTTACTTGATTAAAGAAAGCTTCATTAAATTTTATGACTTCACTGGAATAACGAGGTCATCCATAGTGGTTGGAATGGTAAAAAGAAGGAGAACTTTCAAGGATGGCATCTTCAGTGAAATCAGAAAAAAAAATCATATTCTGAGAGACCTGTGAGGTATAGCTCTCCCTAAACCCTGTTTTCTGACTGTGAGGCAGGAATCAAACTGGGGGAGGAGGATTTCTTCCATGGAGAGAAATGAAGCTGAAAGGTGTTTCCTGCCTCCTGATACTACTGAAAAGATCTGCACGTTGTAAAGGATGCCCTCCCTACCTTTGAGTTGAAGGAACACTTATAGTAGGGCTTGTGTTTGGTTTTAATAGATTAACCCATTAAATCTGTATAAATCTCCCTGTGAATAAAACTACAGTTCTGAAGAAGAAAGTTTTATGTCTTTGTTTTTAGAGTAATTGCACACATGTCACAACAGACCACACATCAGGAGAGATGTCCTTTCCTGTACGTTTGTGAGGAAAAGGGATCTGTTGAATTTTTCAGTCAGTTTAATCAACTAGGTTATGTAGATGTTAAAGCAGAATTCATAGGTATCATAAGTACACTTTAGTATATTTTATGTTAAGGAATTTAAACAAGTAGAAAAAATATTATTGTTCATTAAAGTATTTTCTTTCCCATGGTCTGTTTTGCTAACCTTTTTTAAAGGGGTCTTCTATATCTTCCTAATGGCAAAGATCTATAATTTTTAAAGCTACTAATAAATGCTTGCATTGCAATATAACATTTAATTTCTTCCCTTTATTGATAGGGGATAGTTATTAAAAGATCTAGGTTTATTATTTATGACAAAAGAAAATAGGAACAGAACAAAACAGTGTGGACTCTCCCTTTTAAACTGGCTAGTAAGCAAAAGAAGCAAGAACACACACTCAAAAAATTAATAAAAATAGGCTCCTATGAAGTAGAAAGACTTTTGGGGCTCCAGTAAGGAGTCCATTCTTGCTGGAAGCTGAGCAGTAGCTTCGTGTTCTCCCTAAAGCCTTAAGAAGGAGCTCTGAAACGGGGTGCTCTGTTCATGCCCTTCAGTTCAATGCCAAGAGCAGTGCTTCTGCTGTAACCGTTTACTCCATTCACTCTCAGCCACTGCCTCTTGAAGGCAGTGGTATGATAGGTGCCCTTGTGCACAAGAAACTTCACGCAGCTTCTCACAAAAAAAATGTTTTACACAGGGTTGGTGGGATCCCAGGCTGTAGAGAAGGATCACAGTTCATAAAGGTTGAAAGAAACTGTTAAAAATCAAATAAATGCTTAGAAAATATTAATAATCTCTTGAAACATCAGTTATATAGTAAGTGAATTGTTACCAGCCTGTGCAAAGTAGTCTGGATATCATCACCTGTCGTTAACTTTACCCCTGTGATTGCTCTTAGTATTGTAATAGCAAGTTTTAAATGTAGAAACCTGAATAGCGTTTTTGGCCTGCAAGTGTTATAATACTCAATATTAGCCATTTAGTTTCATTTCAGTCTTACAAGTGTGGATGGATGGAAGCCACCTGCTATATCATAAACCTCTACAGAGCTGCCATTTTTGCTGCTCTTTGGAGAACTGGCAGATAGTGTGTATGTTCAGAACAAGGTCCCCGTGTCTT